GGTTCTCTTTCGCATCATCGAGACAGAGCGCGACCCTAACAACTCCAACACGGATGGCCACGGCAGGCACTTCTTCGAGTTCCGTCGTGCAGACGGTTCAGCCATGCGCCTGCATTACCATAAGAACGGCCGACCCGATGAGCCCACCTATGTCGGTCCACCACGCGCCGTTGCTCAGCCTGCCGTGCCTGAGCCTGGCGCTGCTCAGCCTCATGTTCCTCGTGGCGGCGCTGCTCAGACTGCCGTGCCTGACGGTGGCGCTGCTCAGCCTGCCGAGACTGGCGGTGATGCCCCACTGCTCTTCACACAGGAGCACCTGCAAGAGGCAGCCTGCTCGCGCCAGATTGTGGGCCGCGACGAAGCCAGCGCCGCTCTCCAATCGCTGTTGCACTACCACCATGGCGAGACTGCCCCAGGTGCTGTTGACATCACCGATGGCTCAGCATTTGACTGGCTTCGATGGGTGGCACATATCGAAGGTGCGCGCGACGTCATCCGCAATGGCGTCCACAGGGTCTACGCTGTCCGCTGGAATCCGCACTGGGCTCCAGAGGCCGTCTTCTGCTACGGCAACAACACCTACAGCACACTGGTGCCCCGCAAATCGCGCTACACAGGCTCGTGGAGCCACACGCGAATTGTGACTCACCGGAACGCCAATTGGGTGACCGAACCGTTGCTATCTGCGGCCCCTGTGGCAGCTACGCCGTGGCTGGTGTTGCGGGATCAAATAACCTGGGAGTGATCTCTGGCAAACGAGATGTGGTGCTTCTCAGCCTGCACTCATGTGACACGCAATGCCGTGCCCTGCAATCGCGTGGTGTTTCTCAGCCTGCACTCGCAGGTCCTTCGGAGGTCAATTGTTATGAGTTCGGCACGGTCTCGGTCAAGTACAGCGTGCTGTGGGGATCCCGAGATGGGGCCTGGCTCAAGGTGCTCAAGACGTACTGGAGTGTCCCAGAGCCGGAGTGCCAGCTGATCCTCGGGAGTTGGAACGGCATTTTCAGGCCGTGGCCGGACACGTTCTGGATCAGGACGGGGGGGTCCGAGCCCGAGATGGAGTGCTAGCGCTCTGCAGTACAAGTGCTTTTCAGCATGCGACATCCTGCGGTGCTTCTCAGCCTGCAGGGTTCGCAGCGTGCGGTTTGCAATGCATTCCTTTTCAGTATGCGAGTTCCTGCGGTGTTTCTCAGGTTGCAGGGCTCCGAGGCTCTTCGCTTCGATGCCAATGTTTTCAGACACCGTAGCTCCGTTCCGTAAACATCTTCCAAGAGCCGCTCGCAACCTTTTGCAGCTGGCGGTCTGCAGACGTAGTCTGTCTCAGCATGCGAGCTCCCGCACGCTTCGCCGGCTTTTGCTGCGCGGACAATTTTCTCACACACGTCAGCGCCGTTTGTAGGCGTCAGAAAAACATGTAGACATTCACGAAGGGCTCAGTCTGTATATCGTCACATCATTACATACGCAGTCGTCGAACACATCGGTGTACATTCAGCGCTTTGTCCTTCTAGCTGGGTCGCTTCGTGCTGAGGCTGAGGCTGATGCAGGCTGAGGCTGAGGCAGGCTGAGGCTGAGGCCGAGGCCGACGGCAGACTGAGGCTGAGGCTGAAGCAGGCTGAGGCTGAGGCAGAGGCAGGCTGAGGCTGAGGCTGAGGCTGAGGCAGGCTGATGCTGAGGCAGGCTGAGGCTGAGGCTGAGGCTGATGCAGGCTGAGGCTGAGGCAGGCTGAGGCTGAGGCCGAGGCCGAAGGCAGACTGATGCTGAGGCTGAAGCAGGCTGAGGCTGAGGCTGAGGCAGGCTGAGGCTGAGGCAGGCGGAGGCTGAGGCTGAGGCAGGCTGAGGCTGAGGCTGTGACTGCGACTGCCGTTGCCACTGCGACTGTCATCGCGAATGCGACTACGACTGCGAGAACAGCAGAATTCTACAACTGGATTCTCATCTGAATCTTAAGGGGAATGCTTCCAGATATGCTCCTACACAGCGCTGTTAGGTTGCTTTGCCGGGATAATCCACTGGAAATCGAAGTGTAACCTGTGGGCAAAAGAGGCCTCGTTCCTCATCTCTCGTTCCTTAGGTCAACGCCCCGACGGTACCCGTCGGTATATCGAAGGCGCCTACGGCGAGTCACCGCCGCCCCCTGCCCTTTTGGGAAGCGCCTCTGTGGCCGAACGTCGAGGCCAGATCTGCCGAGCTATCGGACCAGGTGTTCCCCGAGTCGGTTTGGAAAGCCTTCGGGGAACACGTGGGCATCTTGAAGGTCATCCTGGCCGTGTGGAGGCCGTTTTGGCCCTTTCGGGCCTTCTTGGAGGACGTCTTGGAGGGCTCTTGGGCTGTCTTGGAGGCCATCATCTTGTGCGTCTTGGAGGCCTCTTGGGCCGTCTTGGGGGCCTCTTGGGACCGTCTTGGCCTCTTGAGCGATCTTTGGGGGCACTTGGGCCGTCTCGGGCGGTCGGAAGGCCGAACAAAAAGCCAATGCCACAATCCTTGAAGAACTCATGGGAAATCAATGATTTTGGCCCTTTCGGCCTTTCCTGGAGGCCCTCTTGGGAGCCTCTTGGGTCATCTTAGGGCCATCGTCTGCCGATTTGGTGGGCTCCTGGCCCGTCCGACGCCGTCGGAAGCAGTTTGGGAGGCCCCTCTGGGCCGACTTGGGGCCCTCTTGGAATGCTCCAGGGCCGTCTTGGAGGCCATCTTGGGCGTCTTAAAAGCCTCTTGGGGGTCGTCTTGGGGGCCTCTTGGGCCGTTCTGGGGCCATCTTGGAGGCCTCTTGGGCGATCTTTGGGCGATCTTTGGGGGCCCTTGGGCCGTCTCAGGCCGTCGGAAGGCCAAAACGAAGCAAATGTCAAAATCCTTCAAAAACCTATGGACAATTCATGTTTTTGGCCTTTTTCTGGCCTTCCTGGAGGCCCTCTTGGAGGCCTCTTGGGCCGTCTTGGGCCAGCTTCGAGCCAACTTCTGCCATCTTGGTGGGCTCCTGGCTCGTCTGACGCCGTCGGAAGCCGTTTGGGATGCCTTTTCGGGCCGACTTGGGGCCCTGTTGTGGTGCTCCAGGGCCGTCTTGGAGGCCATCTTGGAGGCCTCTTGGGTCATTTTTATGCCCTCTTGGGACCGTCTTGGGGGCCTCTTGGGCAGTCCTGAGGCCATCTTGGAGGCCTCTTGGGCGCTCTGGGGGCGATCTTGGGGGCCTCTTGGGCCATCTTGGGTCGTCGGAAAGCTGAGAAGAAGGAATGCCACAATTCTTCAAAAGCCAAGGGAAATCAACGATTTTGGCCTCTTCGGGACCTCCTTGAGGACCTCTTGGAGGCCTCTTGGGCCGTCTTGAAGGCCTCTGGGGAGCCCCTTGGGCCGTCTTGGAGGCCGTCTTGGATCATCTTGGGCGGACTTGGAGGCCATCGAAGGCCATCTTGGAGGCCATCTTGGGCCAAACGTGGCCATCATGGAGGCCATCTTGAGCCGTCTTGGAGGAACAATTGGGGAATTGTGCCCCTTGAAGTCCTTTCGGGGTGGCCGGCGGGACGGGCCGATGCCCCAGGGGGAGTTCTGTTGGAAAAAGAACCAAAATCAAAACCGAAGGGTCCAGCACGCCAGGCACCCCTGCGATGAATCGACAGGGGGCGGCGGATAACGGCCTTCGGCCCTTCCCGCCACCACGCCTGGGCTGTGGGCACGAAGCCTATTGGATGTTCTTTGGGATCTCGCGGGGGGCCTCTCGGGGTCCTCTTGGAGGCAGTTTGGACGCCTCCTGTGGGCCGTTTTGGGGCCTCTTGGTGCCTCTTTTGGGCCTCTTGCGGGCCTCTTGGGGGCATCCTGGGGACCTCTTGGGGGCATCTTGGGTACCCGTAGGTCGTTGAAAGCAGGTATATTTGAATTCCCAGATCCCAATCTACTTCAAACGCCTTCCTACTTCAAGAGTCGATATGTTCTTACTGTGTGCTGTCATACTCTGGGAGGGCCTGAACCCAATACCCAATCTACCTTGTCCGCCTTCCTACTTCGTGCTTTTTACATACTTCGTCCGACCGACGCGTACGGAAAGAATAGGTGCGACGGCCGACAGCATGTCACATTCATTCTAAATTAGGCTCGTTGTCGGTGTCGCCGCGGACGTTGTCCATTTGAGACAGACTGCCGCTTACCCAACTGCGGCCGCTGTCAGTGTTGGGCAACATGTGTTGTTGGGCATCGTACCCAAGTTTTGTCCGTACCGACTCCTCAGTGGGCGAAGAACGGTACAAAATCAATGCTTCCGTCGCTGGGGGCGCTTGTCCCAGGGCGGCTGGAAAGCTTCTGCCCTGACGTGCCGCCGCAGGGGTGTGAACTTCCCAGCCGCCCTGGGACAGGCGTCCCCAAAGGCGAACAAGAGCTTCGCCCTTCAATCGGCGTCACCCCAATCTACTTGTACTATATGTGCGTCCCCCCCCCCCCCCCCGGGGCGACGCGCGCACTGAGAGATCTTGTAGCATATGCGTCGTGACGGGCGCCGTCTGGCCACACCGCTCGGGAAACGATCTACTGCAAGATGGGTGTACACCCTAGGCGATGCTAAAGACAACCTGTGTTTTCGTCCAGAGTCTCGATTATTCTTAACTTTTCAATGTAAATCCCAAGATTTTGATAGAAGTTCTGGGTTTTATTCAATTTCTGAGACTATGAATTTCTTAACCCATGATTTCTTAAGCATTTCGCATGGTGTACTGCATGTTCGGGTCGGACGCCCGCCTCCGCGGAGGACATCTAGCATTAGTGTGCCCCTGCGCTTCCCAGTCGGTCAAATTCCGGGCGACCGAATCTCAGGGCCCCCCCCCTGTCAGGAGGGAGAGAACCACACAGACACAATGAATCGTCGACCCCCAGGAAACTATGGGAAAAGATGGGGAGCGTGGGGGAAGACAGAAACCCAGAAAACATGGGAAAACATGGGGGATCCTTTGATTTGTGTGTGCATTGATTTGTGTGTCCTGGTGCCCCTTCACCCTTGACCTTCTTGGCTCGGCCGCGAGGTGGGCCCGTCGACGCCCGACGCCGCCCGAGGCCTGGCCGCGGCCGCGGGCAGGGCCGCGCCGGAGTGCCCCGTCGAGGCGCAGCCGCTGACGGAGGCCCCGGGGGCGTTGGCACAGCGGGCGTCATAGCCGATGGGCCTCCTTTCCACCAGCGCCACCAGAAGTTGGAGGGGGGAAGGAGGAGGTGGTGGAGGAGGAGGAGGCGAGGAGGAGGAGGAGGTCCGAGGAGGAGGAGGAGGAGGAGGAGGAGGAGGAGGAGGAGGAGGAGGAGGAGAGGAGGAGGAGGAGGAGGGAGGAGGAGAGAGGAAGGAGGAGGAGGAGGAGGAGGGAGGAGGAGGACCCCCCTCCCTCCAACTTGTGGTGGTGGAGGTGGGAAACAGGTCCATCAATAGCCCCCGGTCCCCCCTCCCCCCCCCCCCTATAACGTAACGCCACTCCCCCCCCAGTGCGCTCGGGGCACTGCCGCCGTGCGCACGGCGGGGGGAGGCGATATAGTATGTCCATCCCCTGGCCCCTCCCCCCCCAGAAAATGCCCACTGTCGCCGAACATCAAGGAACGCGCTCTTTCTCCTCCGCAAGGGCGCCCTCGAGGGCGCGAAGTTCTTCGCGCTTCGGGGGCCGGCTTCGATTCCTCCTCGTACTCCTTGTCTCGCCTGGGGGTCGGCGCGAGAGCACGAGATGATTCGCGCTTCGCGCAAGCGCGGAGTTTTAGGCGCCTTTGCTCTGGCGCGCCACGGTCGCTAGCCGTGCCAAGCCCCGCCCCCCCCCCCCCCACAGGCGTTGCTCGGACAGGGCTAGGCTTAAGTCGGGCGTGTTCCTCTACAGGAGGAGTATTCAAAAACAGTCAAAAATACAGTGGGCGATGTTCAAGTATGCTTGAATATTTTGGGAGTATGTTGTTGACTATTTTTGTATGGTTCGTCCAAATCCCCCTGCAGGGTGACAGGCCCGACCTGAGGCTAGGACGAGGAGAAGTCCGTTCCAGAGCGTTCGTCAACGCGCTCGGAGCTCTCCGGCGCGCTCTGAGAAGGCCGCGCGCCCGAGACGCCCTCCGGAGCCGCCGGATCTCAGAGATTTTCCCGATCTGTCCTCGCCCGATGTTATCCTCGTCCTGGTTTCGTCTTAGCGGCGGTAGCGATCGTACGTGGAGAGGGGTAAAACGACGCGAAGATCGGGACAAAATCGGATCGGGATAACTCGAAATCTCTGAGAATCGGCGGGTTTGGAGGATGTATTGGGCGCCGCGGCCGCTCCAGAGCGTTCCGGAACGCTCTGAGAGCGCTCGGAACGCTCTGGAGCGATTTATCCCGATCCTAGCCTTGTTTTAAGGGGCCCGGAGCCCCTCTGCACGTGCTGGTTCTCGCGCGCGTGCCGTGGCACCCCCGCCGCGACGTGCCCCACCTCGGGGCCCAAGCGTTACCAAGCGTGGCCGCTGTCTGGGGCTCCCACCCCCCCCAGGCAACGACCGTTATCGGATGTAAGAACCGAGAATTTTCTTTGGGTGGAGGGCAACGGGTGCAATCTGAAATGCTGTTTCGATGGATTTCCGAGGCTTGAACCTGCAAGAGGTGAATCACAAGACGGATTGACTGTCGAGGTGCAAAAGTCTAATATGGATTTCACCCTGAGCCCTCCACCCTGAGAAAATGTTCAGAAGAAACAATCCAGACGGGGCTGGGGTAGAGTGGGGTCGGAGGATCGTGCCGCATCGCCGCTGCATCGGCGGGGAGGGGCGATCCAGACTCCGGATCCGATCGTCTCCGTCCCGACGTCGCCGCAGCATCGGGGGTGCATCGGCGATGTGGTTCTATCCTCCGACCCCACCTCCTGCGAGCCTGTGTGGGAGGCCTCAACGGGGGCAGGGTGGTGATCTCCCAGATTCCATGGCCCGTAGAAACGCTAACAGCGATGTAGGTAACGGCGATGTCGGTTTCGGTTTTGTGGGAACGCGTGGTTCGTGTTTTCCTACAACTCGCTGTGTCGTTTCCCTTCGATACATTTGCATCCTGGAAATGTCGGAAAGTGTTGGTTCGTGATTTCCTACAATTTGGTTCTCCCACCATCTCACCGCTGAGCGACATCGCCGTTAGCGTGGCCTTGGGGCCATGCGGTCTCCCAGATTCCGTGGTCCCCTCTTCTTCTGTCAGTGCGTTCCCTGGCGCCCCCCTCGTCTCGGGCCGTGGTGGCCAGCCCCATCCCCTTTCCCTGGGCCCCCCCCTCTTCGGCGCGCCCAGCATGTGCACCCACGGCCCGCGGAATCGACGGCCGAGGTGTTTGGCGTAGCAATTTCGCCCCTTCCCGGGGGCCCTCCGGGCGAGCCCGCGCTGTTGACGGCTGCGCGGCCCCCGAGATCCTGGTCCAATCGCGTTTCTGGTCAAGGGGGCGAGGCTCGACCCCTGGCTGGGGAGGAGTTGGACGAAAGGGGAGGCATATAGGGAAGGGGGCGGGGGGTACGAAATCTGCCGCGTGCGGCTGGTTTCGGTCTCGCCGCCCGGCGCGTTCCTTGAGACAGTGGCACCTCTGGCGCTGGGAGGCGCCGGGAAACTCAGCTGCGTGAGCTGGTTCGCGACCCACCCCTTTTGTCCCACCGGGGAGGGGAGGGTCCCTCGTCCTTCTTCCCTCACATGCCCACACGGCCCACCGTAGCCACCCACAGCCGACCACCTCTTGGGGCGGCGGAGGCGCCTCAAGATGAGGCTTCGCCACGGCTGGGCAACCTCTGAGCACCCGTCAGGATGGTGTCTTGGGCTTGCTCTTGAGCGGGAGTGGCCCTCGGCGGCTTCGTGCCGCCTTAACTCCGGGACCCACGCATCTACATCACCACAGCGGGCTGATCGGATTATTGTTTCGGCGGTGGGTTCCAGGGTGCGTCAAACCTCGCGGTAATGAACTGTCGCGTGTGCATTGTCATTTGGGCAAGCGGCTGCATGCGCAAGAAACAACACACGTATTTCGGGGAGGTGTATAACATTCCCAGGGGGGGGGGGGGCCATCGTTTTTATGCACCACGACCGTGCTGCCATAGGGTGCCTGGGAGCAATTATTCGCGACCGCACGCGGCCGCCATCTGCGCGCATGACCCCGTGGCAAGTACTTGCACTTGGCGGGGGCAGGCAGTGGCACCCTTGTCAGGGCGGTCGCGCGCAGGGGTCGTTCCCTTCCTGTGGCCGCCTGGTGGTGGCGTATATATCATGCCCCGCATTAGCGCATCGGCGAGGCGACGCCACCCAGACGCCCGCCACCTCCAGCCACCACCATCACCAGCCATCCGAGCGCACCGCAGTCTTGTGCGGCTGCTCCCCTGGTTTTCCCCCCCCCCCCCCCCCACCCCTCCGTGATGGTTCGCATCCCTTACCATTCTGTCGATTCGGCTCCAGAGCCTGAACGTGGCCCACAGAAGGCCGATCGGTGCATTAGGGCCGCCGTCGTGGAGCTATCGTCGAGCTCTGGCTGATGAAATGGGCCTCGACCTTTCGGGGGGCGAGGAAGACAGCAAAATGGTAAGGGAAGAGTCTGCTTACCCCCCCCCCTCCCCCCCTCCCCCACCCCCAGTTCAAGGCCTCAAGTTTTGCCCCTGGACCCAAGTCGGGAGGCCTCTACTTTTGCCCCTCCCCCCCCTCGGCGCCCTCCCAGTTCCTCTCCCTGCCCCATCCGCGAGTGCAGCCCCGCTCTGCGCTCGCGGCGCTGCTCTCCGAGACTCTGCCGCCTGGCTCCGTCGTCTGCCCTCCCTTTCACTCCGCCGTCTCCGTCTGATCGTCGCCCCCTCCCCTCACGTTCTCGTCTTCCTCCTCCTCCTCCTCCTCCTCCTCTTCCTCTCCTCCCCCCCCTTCCTCCTCCCATGTTCTCCTTCTCCTCCTCCTGCTCTCCTGCCTCTTTCCCTCCTTCTCCTGCTACTCATCTCCTTCCTCCTCCTATCTCCTCCTCCTCCTCCTCCTCCATCATATTCCTCATCATCCCCCTCCTGCTCTTCCCTTCTCCTCCTCCTCCTCCTCCACCTCCTCCTCCTCCTCCTTCTCCTCCTCCTCCTCCTTCCTCTCCTCCTTCTCCCCCTCTTCATATTATCCTCCTCCTGCTGCTGCTCCTCCTGTTCCTCCTCCTCTTCCTCCTCCTGCATCCGCCCCTCTTCTCCGTTCTCAGTATCCCTCGCTCTCCTTCTCTCTCTCTCTCTCTCTTCATCTCTCTCTCTCTCTCGTTCGCTCTCTCTCTCTCTCTCGTTCTTTATGTTTGTCTCTGTCTCTTTGTGTTATGTCTCTCTCTCTTTCTCCCTTTCGGGTCGCTGTTCTTTCTCATTATATGTTTTTTGTTTGTTTCTCTCTCTCTCTCTCTATGTATATACACATATAAAGCAGTCTATTTATGTTTCTGATTATCTCTCTCTCTCTCCCTCTCTCTCGTTTATTTGTATATAAACATGTTTGTCTAGTTCCGTAAGGGCTTCGCCCCCTGTTGCCGCCGGCCCCCTCTCTATCAGAATGGGATGTGACCGAGTCGCGTCGGTGAGTCTTGGCGTTGCCTTGGCGCATCTGGGAACAGCATGCGGGGGCGGATAGGAGTCATCAGCGCATATTGAATATTTGGCGTTATCGAAGACGCCTACGGCGAATCACCGCCGCCCCCTGCCTTTCTGGAAGCGCCTATGTGGCCGAACATTGAGGCCAGACCTGCCAAGGTATCGGACCATGTGTTCCCCGAATCGGTTTGGAAAGCCTTCGGGGAACACGTGGGCATCTTGAAGGTCATCTTGGCCGTCTGGAGGCTTCGTTGACCTTGTCGGGCCTTCTTGGAGGACGTCGTAGGGGGCTCTTCGACCGTCTTGGAAGGCATCTTGAACGTTTGGGAGGCCTCTTGGGTCGTCTTGGGCCTCTTGGGCGATCTTTCGGGGCACGTGGACCTTCTCGGGCCGTCGGAAGGCCGAACAAAAAGCAAATGCCACTATCCTTCAAAAACTCAGGGGAAATCAATGAATGTTGCCTTTTCGGCCCTTCCTGGAGGCCCTCTTGGAGGCCTCGTGGGCCGTCTCGGGCCATCTTGGGGCCATCTTCGGCCGTCTTGGTGGGCTCCTGGCCCGTCTGACGCCGTCGGCAGCCGTTTGGGGG